TTTTTTAAATTGTGTGAATTTTAATGTTGTGAACCGCTTTAGGACCCCTGTTGGGAGAAATGTGGCATATAAATAAAACTAACAAAATAAAATAATAATAAAAAATATAATACAACAATTTCCAAATCCTCAGCCATCTAAATGGAGTGAGTTCCCAAGCACTAAAGTCTCCCACAGTACTGTTATATGTGAACTCCCACATTTTTCCATTGCCTTTCACAGCTGATCTTGGGATGGTCTACAATGATATTCAAACCAAGGGCAGCATTCCTCTGTGTTCCTGATCAGAGTTTTTATGGATCCCAGTTTTTGTCTTGCTTCATTCAGCAAGTGTTGAGCAAAGTTTACAGCATCTTTGAAAAGGATCTAATTGAGTTACTCCTTACTGTTTGGCAACTTGATTGTTGTTAGTGTTGCTCCAATTGCACAAGTTATTGGTACTGCTATTATTATGCTAGAATTAAATCACAAAAATACTCTTTGTTTTTTGTAGTGGCCAGTTCTGACACTGTACCTTGCAAATATTTACATAGTACAGAAGATGAAAGCAAAGAATTATCTTGCCACTTACGAGTGGTAACATGAAAATTCATGTTACAATGCCTCTTCAAATTCTTTCAAAAGTAACTTTTAAAAGTAACAAGAGAACATTACTCAATATACCTAACCTTGTACTCCAAAGCAACTAGTTATAAGTACAGTGGTGCCTCGCATAGCAACGATAATCCGTGCAGCAAAAATTGCTGCAAAGCGATTTCGTCACTATACGATATTAAAAAGCCGATAGGAATGCATTGAAACCCCTTCAATGTGTTCCTATGGGCTTCAGACCCACCTTTAAGTGAAAATCCACCATACGGCGGCCATTTTTGCTGCCCGGTAAGCGAAGAATCCATGCCCTCCTTTAGGGAAGACGGCGCCTGTTAAGCGAGGCACCACTGTAACTAGTAAGGCACCTGTATCTAGTTACTGTACTTTCAAACTCTGGTGTTGACTGAACACGTTCCAGTCATTCAATTCATCAACTCTAGTTATAATCTGATTAGAAGCAAGGTCTTGGTTGGTTAGCACTTGAAGGGTAGGCCCCCAAGGAATATTGGGTGATATACTGAGGAGCAGATGCAGCTTAATGTTACAATTGAGATGGCCTTATGCCCTCCTTTAGGGAAGATAGCCTTCCATTTGAAGAGCTTTTTGGAGACATGTAAGTGGCCGCCCTACCCTCAGAGAGTTTCCATGTACAAGCAGATAAAATCTAGGCTCTGATTGCCAAATTAGCCCACTCTCAATTTTAAAGTAAAATGTTGCAGGTTATATGTGTAATTATGTAAGAAAAGATGCAATCTACTTACACTGATATAATGTCTGATGAATGGCAGGAAGGATATGGCATGCCATGCCAATTCTGTGTGAACCTCTTATGTGAGGTCAGTGTCAGGAGTGGATATTTTGGAATAGTTATTGTTGCCTAGCTAGATATTTTAACGAAACTACAGTGACTTTTGTTTATTTTCTTTATATATTTTGATACAATAAACAGGGTATTTCAGAGAGTTATTAAACCTTATTTACTTACTTACTTACTTACTTACTTACTTACTTACTTACTTACTTACTTACTTACTTACTTACTTATTTATTTATTTATTTATTTATTTATATCCCATCTTTCTTTAATGTTCTGCCTCAAGGTAGTCATCTAGTCACAATCTTGTGCAATTTGATGAGCACTAGGACATTTCTACTTAAATTATGTGAATGAGGTTCTAATTCTGATGGTATTTGCATGTGTGAGTTTAAGCTAGCATTTACAAATGTGAGGCAAATATGTCCTCCTTTTTCATGAAGAATTTCTTCCTTTTTTTGTTCCTTGTCCTCCATATCCTCCTTTTTTATGAGGGAGTGGTGGCTACCTTAGCTGCAATATTTTCTTTGCATACAGATCCTCACCATCTCCAGGTAGAGTAAGGGGAATATCCTTGAAATCCTGAAGAACTGCTGCCCCTAAGAGTTAGCAAAGCAGGGCTAGATGGACCAATGGTCCGACTCACAGAAGACAGCTTCCTAGGTTCCTAGTAATAGGCTTGTTTCTTTCTGCTTCAGAATGTAAAGCTGACTGTGAAGCCTGCTTCAACAAGAATTTCTGCATGAAGTGTAAAAATGGGTTTTATTTGCACCATGGAAAGTGCCTTGAAAACTGTCCTGATTGGCTGGAACCCAACAATCATACTATGGAGTGCAATGAGATTGGTAAGTAAATCATCTTTCCTGAAAAATGTTCACAGTAAACACCTGCTGTGTATTTCTTCGGGCTTTATTGATCATTCCCACCTATAAAAGAACATACATTTTCTTATTTTAAAAAGTGCTTTACTACTTTTATTATTTTAACACGTTAAACTGGAGACGGCTGGGGTGCGGCAAGGCACACAGAATCACTTCCTCTGTGAGGCACAAGGAACATACTGAGAGCCACAGGAGGAGTGACTGACTCAAATAATCTTTCGTCAAGCATTACTCCACCAAACATTATGGCTCTATCTCATGCCAATACTCATATGTGCAGAACAACCCATGGTGTCCTGATTGGAATAAACACCTAATATGGCAATCCTAACCAAGGACTATGTAGTCTGGAATTCTGTCCACATAGTCACCCACAAAATGTATCTTTAAAGTCCACAAGTGGGACTGGAGCACAATAGCAGCATTTCACTTGTGTTTCCCAGCAATTCTCTCTGTTGCTGGAGATAAAAGCTATAGCCATCATAATGAGCTGGGGATATCTTTGTCCTCCACGAACCTGTCTAGTCTTCTTTAAGGCTTGCCATCCAGCTTCAGTGATAGACTAGTGCTATTACAGAGGAAAACAAAACAGTGCCCTATCCGCTTTTTCCATACCAAATGCATAAGAGTATACATCTTTACTTACTTGTCTTTTTTTCCCCTGAGCTAAACAACACCAGACACTGTAAACTGTTACTTCACAGAGCCCTCACTCCTTAAGCCAGAGGTTTCAAACTCAATTTACCTGGGGGCCGCTGGAAGCAGAGTCTGGGTGAGGCTGGGACACATCAGATTTTCCGCCAAGCGGAGCAAGAGCCCAAGGAAGCAGCCCAGGAGTTTCCTTAGCCTGGCTAGGGCTTCGAGGAGGAGACGCACTCCTCTGGCTCCTTCTTCACCACCACCACCACCAGCAGCAGCGGGACAAAGAAGCGGAGAAGGGAGGGAGTGCTGGCAACCACCTAGTCGGGGGGGGGCATGAGATAAAATAAAAAAAAAACACCTCACAGAATTCACCTTGCCATAGGAGAAAAGCCCCCACTGGTACCCGCGATATTAAACAGAACGTGGCGGGGCCTTCACAGGTATGCACATGCATACAAGCCCACACACAAAATATTGCATGGCGTGACAGTGGGGAGAATGGGCGGGATGTGTGAATCAGCAGCAGCAGCTACCCCCACCATGACAGAGGAGCTAACTTTGTGAGGCGAGCCCAGGCAGCCTTCAGAGCCTAGGCGACTGAAGCAGGAGGAGGAGGTGGAGGAATTACCACTGGGTGCTGAGGCTGCTGCTGGCCGGGCTGGTGCTTGGGGTGCCGAGAGAGAAAGAGAGCCAGAGAGCCACTTCCCTGGAAGAGGCAGTGGCGGTGGCAGCTGCTGTTGGCGGCTTGGAGGCGCTCTTCAAGGCCGGACTGGGAGCAAGCTCCACTCTCAAGCATCGCTTGGTGGCAGCTCAGGCGCTGGGGAAAAAGGACTGGCAGTGCACCTCGCTCACTGACTCTTCCCCAAGACAGCGCCTCTTGAACCCTCCATCCGGCAGACAGGTGGGCTGACTGGCAGGCTGCAGTTCCGGATGGAGGGTGCAAGAGGCGCTGTCTTGGGGGAGAGCCGGGAAGCGAGGTGAGGCTTTTTTTTTTTACTCTTGACAGCAGAGGGCATGTGGGTGCTTTGAGGGGCAGGCAAGGCAGGGGCCACAAACTATCATCCAGCAGGCTGCAAATAGCTCGTGAGCCGCATGTTTGAGACCCCTGCCTTAAGCAAAGTTTGGTACAATTTCTATCTCTACAGATTCCTTTTATTTTATTTTATTTTAGAGGACACTACTCAAAATCACAAGTGTCTTGTGTATCCTTTTCAGAAGAGATTTGTTCAACATAATTTTTTCATTTAAAAAGTTTTTTTCCTTATACAATTTATAGGTATAGCCATACATGTACAGTAACATATAACATGCAGTATGAGATAAAAATATCCAGTGTAGCTTCTATTAGTACTTGTTTATATGTATACTGTATGCCCAGACTGATTCGTATCATGTCTTTGTTACAGTGCATTGTAAAGTTGGTGAATGGAGCCCGTGGAGTACTTGCATGAAGAAAGGAAAAACATGTGGTTTCAAAAGGGGAAATGAAACAAGGGTCAAAGAAATACTACAGCTTCCTTCTTCAAAGGGCAAACCATGTCCAGATACAAATGAGACAAGAGAATGTGTTGTACAAAGGAAGAAATGCCTGAGAGAACCAGGTACTTAAGAGTGTTATGGTTCAATATTACTTAAATCTGTGAATATTAATTCTATATCAAGGCTAAGTTCATCAGAAGCTTTGCTGGACCTTAATTGTAGCTTTACTTGGTTAACAGCCTAAAAGTCTACATGGAATGTCAAGAATTTTGACTCATGGGTTTTGCCTCTGCTTTTTAAACAAAATATCTGCTGTTCTCCAGAAAGGATAAGAGTTGTATATTCTCGCTCGCTCGCTCGCTTGCTCATTCGCTCGCTCGCTATCCAGACATGACACTAGTTTCAATGTAATCAGTATTTAATCAGCTTGGCAGAAGACGACTAGAAAATGACTACATATTCTTAGAACACTTATGAACAGCTGAGTATGATGACATCCAGAGCATTCTGATATTTTAGTTTCAGTGAGGAGAGTTATACATTGTTGAACAATGGCTTCCACAGCCTGCACTCACACAGACCACAACCAGAGGTGAGAAAAACAACCCCCTCAATACCCCATTAAAACAAACCAGCAATAGCAATATCACACCCACATCCAGCATACACAACAACACAACTGGTGTCAGGCATACAAAAGCTGGGCATAGTAATCTTGTGGTAATTTTCCTGTGATAATATGCTGTTGTCATGGAAATAATGTGGTGACATCTCCATAATGCTTAGACATAGAAGGAACCAATGCACTCCAATGTAAGGGAAATTTCTTATGCCATCTCACACATAACACACAAATGACACTATACAGAATATCCTCTGCTTGAATTCCAGCTCCTGCAGTTAGCAATGATCTGGCTATTGCCAGTTCCTAGAAAGCTCTTCAGGGAGAGGTTCAAACCAGCCTTTTTTGGCTGTGCAATAGAGGGAAAGGAGGAGGAGGATGCATAGGGCACAATGCCAAGCAACTCTCCTGAGTGAGTATAAAGGTCTGCCTGGGAAAATGTTTTATGACCCTTGAAAGAGAGAAAGAAAAGAAACCTTGCCAGCCAAGAAAAATGAGGGACTAGCTCATGTAACGAAACCACAACTATACCCATTGGGACAGCCTCCAGTTGCCCAAAGTGCTGTGAGTTCATGCACCATCATGATGAATGAAGTTTTGGGCCAGTTTTTTTCTTTCTTTCTTGGCTGT